ATCAAAGATTCTGCACTGTGCAAAAATAACACGCAATCAGAACGTGTTAAATACGTCGTCTAATCAAGCAGTGACGTCACTAGAACTCTAAACAGTGTTCCAAATGCCACTTTTAGTACAAGAGGATTTGTAAAGGGGGGGGGGAAACTGACACGTTATTATTGCCTTACAACCACACACACACAGAGGCACATGGGGCGCTTTGCAAGAAAATGAAATAGTGTCCTAAAGGAAGAGGAAGGGGGAATAAAAAGCACTAGTATGCAGGAGAATCAGTGGAAGATATTAAAGGTAAGGGCAGAAAGAACACCATCCCACACTTTGTTACGATACGTGCCTTAGTAGCAAATATTTGTGAAACACAAACTAAAAGCACTTTCCTTTGGAGGGTTACATTTTAGGGCTCCAAAGATTCGCGCAAAGCAAATTTTAATGTCAGTACTAACAGTATATTTCGTTCATGATTCCTATCTACAAGACATAAACAGATTCAACAAGTGGAAAACCCGATCATGATACGTCGATTGCAACAAAGAATGTGAATTTTATATTAAGAATAACGCGAAGCTATAAACGACTAAGATTCCGGAATCTGTCATGCACAGTTATAGATTTAAAACGCGTAATAAGTTCAAAAACGAGAAAATGTGGCAATTCGTAGCAGACCAGTTCTGACGGTCAGTGGTTCGTAAGGCGCACGACCAGCTTCCAGTCCATACGATAGATCAGTGGTATTCAACCTGGGGTACGCGAAGACATCTTAGGGGGTACGTGAAATTTAAAAAATATATATTATTTTATGATAAACACTGAATAATCAGTAATGTAATTTATTTAATTTATTTTAGGTGTAGATTGTAATCTATGTATAACTTGAATTATACACCAACAACTTTGGGGGTACAAAGTTGAAGAGAAATTATATCTGGGGGTACGCGAACAAAAAAGGTTGAATACCACTGCGATAGATAAACCGTTTTCCGGCTTCACCCAATGCTAAGTGAGCATATTCACACACAATCATGCAGAGCTTGAAAGCCGTCTAAGTTAGTTACTAACGTACATCCCGGAATAATGACCGATATCGATAATACGACAAAGCTTCTTCTGCATTTCTTCCAGTTCATCATTCAGAAACGAGACGAGCATTTGAGAAAACTCCATTAAATAAGCCAGGAATCTAACCACATCCAAGAAGTTTGTGAAAACCACTTAACCTCCTACCCAGTAAGCATCACGAGAGTAAAAGTGCTACAGTTTATCAGACGTCCCGAGTTCTAGGTATGGGGCTTGGGCACAGAGGAAACTTCACCGAAGCTACAGAAAATGTAACTGTTTTAGGAAGACAACTGACCACTCTGCTAGGCTGTACAACATAACTTCTTTTGTTCTACTTTCTCTCCCCCACCGCAAATGGCATCCTCTTTTCCAAGACGAGAAGAAACCGTGATGACCAAGCTCACGTCTGTTAACGCTTTGGGAGCACGGAGGGGCGAATTTGGAACTTGGACGACAAGATGGACGTGAAAATGGGAATAAAAAGGACGAAAAAGCTGAGATGTCTTACGGGAGTCCAGAAAATGAGATGGAAACATATGGCGCAGGGTAAGACTGGGGAGGGGGGGGGACTTTGTGTCATTCCTCAAATCTTCTGCTTTCGAGTCTTCCAAGTTAACAGGGATGGAATAGCTTATTACAAAAATGGACATCGATCACTGTACTCTGTGACATAGCTAACTCTCTGGTCACAAAGTAGGTCCTGATCCACCACAATCAAGTCTACGTTCTCAAAACGTATTTCCGAAATATCCATCTGAATGTTATCCTTTCCTTCTAAAGTACTCGCACGTTCCCGTACAAAATAAATTGTGGCTCCCATCCGCGTCCAGTACTTCGTAACCTTCGCGATTTAAATTCCATAAAAATATCAAGAAATCGCGTAAATAACTAAGTCGTGTTCTCAGTTCCTAAAGCGATCTCTCATGGATCGTAATATTTAAAATTTATGTTCTTCCTTCAGAGTAGAAATCACTTCCATTTTTAAGTAATTCTTCTGGTAATTTAAATTCAAACTTAAATTTATCCTTCCCAAGTAATTATAACTTCAAACAGTAAGCTACATTAAGATTTTTTGCAGATAAAGAGACAGAGAAAGGAAGTGAACAAAGGTTAATTTTTACACGGAGAGAGAATATATTACGCCAAACGGTTGAATGGTGAAATGAGGTGAGGCGTATGTCTCGCCCGCTTGAAACAGAAGTGGATATATGAGGTGGAGAACGAAAGAAACGGACCACAGTAGAACTAAGTATGAAGTACAATAAGAGAAGAAACGAAATGGGATGGAATGAAGTGAGGAGAAGCCGGAGGAGCTGAAGCAGCTGTATGTGAAAGAAAGAGAGACACGATAAAACGAGATACGTTCATTCGTCATGAAAACTGCCGTGTCTTAAAGTACTGACTGTTACGAAAATATGTTCCTAAAGAAACTAACATATCTTAATTATCTGGGAAACGAGTTTCTCTACATTATTACATTGTCAACGAAACTTCAATTAGCTGAAAGTCGTAGGCTTCTTGGACTGGCATTCAAGACTGCGGGCCAAGATTATGATCACTTCCCACCACGCCACTTTCCATTTAGCTCAAATGGTTCTACACGATTATGATCACTTCCCACCACGCCACTTCCCATTTATCTCAAATGGTTCTACACAATGTTCGATCTCAGTGCAGTATAATTTATGAAGTGACCTGAGAGATAGCAGCACTGATCACATAAATTGTCCTGCCATCTTACGACTGAATCTTTAACTACACGTACAAACGGATTTACGAAACAAAGAGAATGTTAATTGGGCAAATCTTTAAGCACGCGAGGGCACACCATCGAGCTAATTTACTTGCTGCATTCATACGTACATCTTTCCTTTCCTTTTCCACTGTATTTTAATAAAGACGAAAAAAGCCACAAAGCATTAAGCATAGAAAGATTACATTTAAACCATAACAACAGGAATAACTGTGTGCAAAATTACTGAGACATGCTGTAAAATAAACCTTTCTACTGAGCTCTACACTGTAACATAAAATGAACAGAGGAGAAAGTAACACTCCACTAAAGGATGTGGAAAAGAGAGACGAAGAGGGAAAAAACAACTCCATGAAACCAACCATTTGGTAGACAGGCAGAAACCCATAGTACATGCTCCAAAGGGTGAGCCAAGTTCCTTAATTAGTGCAAAAAACCTTCTACTATATTGTCTCTACAGCCTGGCAAGGCAACCTACTCCTGTCAACTTCGAGTGGCTTCTAAGCCACGCATTCCACAGCATAAACTTCAGCCCTCTTCTGCTGCTTACTTAAAGCAGTGGTTCTTCAAGGACACACATCAAGTTCAGTGAAAATGTATCATAAGAATCGATAACCCTCACCTCTTCAGAATAAATTTGCTCAATTCAAAATATTATAAAATTTATGCACAAAAGATCAGCGTCGTCTCACTGGCAATGTGTTCGTGTCAAGTACAACACTTTTAACTCGCAGAGATAAAAACAGAATTAATGTTACGAATACTCCACTTAAAATTGTTCCCAAAGGTTCATTACCATGTACACAAAATCCCAACACTCTTCCCTAAAGAGAGTCATAGCATTTTAATAACAAGCTCATAAGTCACAATGTCTCAAACAATTAAGTTGGAACCAATCATAGATACATATGCACGCACGCGCGCGCACACACACACAAGTCACTCTGGTTTCAAAAATCAGCTGTGAGTCAGTAGCAATGACAGCTAGAAGAAAGAGCACACGCAGCGAGCGACCGCGTTCAAAGAAGCGGTGTTCCGACTTCAACGAGTGAAGGCATTCTATCGGAGTGGAAACTAGATAGCGGACGTGATTCACGACTATAAATAATTCCAAAAAGAAGATAATTATTTGCAATCATCATACGATCAGCAAATCCACATTTCAAACAAAATACCACCGAGTTAATTACTCGTTATTATTACAACTGATGTGAGAATCGAGACTGGAATTGGGTAAGACATTCAAATAATTATGAACTGATTAAAAGAACTGACAAATTACATTTGAGCCAGCCAAGATAAAACACGACATCGTTACCACAAGCCGAGTGTCGCAGGAACGGATGACCTATATGCCGAGAGTATGGGAAGGCCGATTGCCTTCGACGAACTATTTGTAGAGAACTGGCAAGGAGGTCACATGTAATCAAGGTTGGAAAATAGCTTCTGCAACGAGAGTAACAGCCAGCATCTTTACCCTCATTTTCTCATTCAACATACTAGGAGAAGTGACGAATGCCAAGGGCTGGAAACGAGACAAGACAGTGGCTGGCAGTTTCTGGTCAAATTTGGTTAACATATTCCTTCCTTAAGAGAGCAGTGTCACTTTGCAACAAAGTCCCGTAGGTCAGATAACACATCCGCATTCAAGACGTAATTTTAACGCTGGCACAACTAAATCATCTACGCTGCTGCATAAAAACTGTACAGAATGACTATAACCGACCAATCACAAAACAAAACAAAATTTAAAGCACAGAACCTGGCATGATAATACAGATGGAAGGAGCGACGCAGACAAAACCTTCGAAAACTGTAACGTTTTCCTCGACAATCAGCCGAGCCCATCAGATGCCGACCACACGTATGTTTTGATGCTGATTCTCGTACATGGTAAAATACAACACAACATTAAAAATATTTAACCTACATCCACCACGCATCACACTAGTCTACTGTTAAACTACTACCATGGAATATTTGTAGTGTGGGGGTTTTAAATCTCGTATTGCCATGAGATCAAAGTCAATTTATAACACGATAAAACTTCTTGCTTCTTATCTTAGAAAAAGATGTCCTCTTTTAAATGCTATGCAGCAGGCTTGGCAGTCAGTGGGTTAAACATCTTAAATAAAATAAACAGTATCAAATAGAACTTTAAATTGTATTATCAAATGACGCTCCTTACCTTAAAAATTTGCGCCAAGAATCAATGAAATCTCTCGATACTAGATGCAGCACTTGATTTGGGAACTGTTTCTGTCGCTGCAGAGATGCCGGACTACCGAGGGAAACGCGGTTACGGTCGTAGTACAGATCCATGAGGCTGTCTTTCTGAATGGCTGCAGTCTGACGATATATATCACGCGCAGCTTTGCCTTGCGTCAACAGGTTCTTCGGAAAGACAAAGGAAATATCAGTAGGTTATTAAATTCACTGTAACAAGAATAACCATCCACTTCCATTGGTTATAATGCTTGTACCTGTTCAATTTCAAAGTCACTGTTTCGAAAATATGAATGGCTGCTGCATGTGCGCCCTTATAACTTTCCCACAATGTTTTACTTCCTGGACACTAACTCATGACCTTAAACATGCGTACTGACATAAAGTTAAATTATTTTATTTTACAAAAATGAGAGAAATATTTCATTTCAGTGAAATGAAGCTTAGATCTAAAATACTGTGATCCTCATATTGACGTTCAAATACTTAAATCATGCTTAATTTTCACCACAACTTTCATGTGTAACAAGCGAGATATGGCATTACAGCTTTGCATTGTATCCCAACTTTTTGTTGGCTTGATCTATAGACATTCGGTAGGACTCCTTGGACGAGGGATCGGCCCGTCGCAAGGCCTCTACCTTTACACAGGACAGCACAACACAGAAAAACGCGGACAGACATCCATGGCTTAAGTGGGATTCGAACCCACGATCCCCAGCGACCGAGCGGCACAAGGACCGCGCCTCAGACCCCGCGGCCACTGAGGACCCCCTGCATTGTCACCACATTTCTAATTCTTATTCCACAAAAACAGTCTTCATAAAAAATTTGTAAGCATAATGGATGAAGTTCAGGGTAGGTATGCCTCTCTACAGATGACAAAACAAATGTCAGTACCATATTATATTCTAAGCAAAATCAATCAGCCCACCATTGCGTTAGATTATTCAAAGAATACTAATTTAAACTAAATTAACTTCACCCAACCAAACTTATTGTTATCAGTCACAAGCCTCTTAATAAACAAGTTTTATGATTTAACGTATTTATATTATAAATTTCTTCAAGATCTTTAATGACAATATTTGCAGATTAGCGACAATTTGGTAAAATTATGTCCACGACTGTGTCTAAGAATGTACAGATTGTAGGCGAAGAACACAACAGCAAACTTTGGAAAGAAAGTTTACATTAATTTTCACTGATTTGAATTCATGCACAGAATCTTACCTGGCACGAGATACAAGGTTTGGCATCCTGTGTGAATGGCTTAGCAGATGGAAAATAGCTTCTCAAAATCTCCCACGCCTGTTCGGAGACAAGACGTCGCCGACCGTCTTCTACGCTTAAATTTCCTGTTCATCATTAAACATAAAATAGGATGTAAAATGATTATAAGATACCAACTCGAAATAAACACTGAACACTGAAAACCTAAAGTTTTGGTATGTAGGAGGAAAACATCACAACTAAAGCTTATACTAATTTTATTGTAACAAATTATTATTGTTGTTTTTGTTACAAGTCAATAGTTTTAATAACTATTATATAATGACATATAATACCAAAAGAGAAAGAAATATCTGACAGTAAAAATATCAAACCAAAATTGTGGTTTTCATAAAATTGTCAAACCATCATTGGTCTCAAAACATAGAAGAATTTGAATTTATAAAACACTTTCTATGCTGACATCACTGCAAACAGCACAGAACTTACAAGGGATTGACGACACAAGTTTATTTTAAACTGAAACGTATTTAATGAGATAGATGCAGGTTACACTTTTTCACCATAAAAGAAATTTAAAATATACAGAATTACAGAAGTCACATACAACAGATCTTACACAATGTTACACAAGAAATACAGCCACAAAACAAATATTTAAGTCATTCCAGAGAATTAGGACCCATCGGAAGACATCTAAAATCATGACAGAATTCTGTTTTGTGGTATCCATAACAAGTCAAATACAATGTACACTTATAAATGGGAAGCAAGACGAGCAATTCGAATCAATGACATAAACAATGACCATCATAATCATAACCTTCAAGTGTTTTTCTGTTTCTCTTGGTGAACATTAATTTTTTCTGTCCCGCTACACGCCATGTAGGTCATTTGGGGTGAGCGGAGGTATAGCTCCTACTCTTTCCTGACCTCGGTACTAGATGGGGTGAGTGGTCAGCGTCACGCCCCGGCCGTGCTTTACCCCTGGGAAATGACCCCATTACCCATTGGACGGGAGGCTGGGTGGGCCCCAGAGCCGGTCTGGACGCAGGGGCTAGAGGAAAAATCATCCTCTGCCCGTCGGGGATCGAACCCCGATCGCCCAGCCCGTAGCCAGTCACTATACTGACTGAGCTATCCCGACTCTTCTTGGTGAACAATAAAAATGCAAATATTTAAGACAAAATGATCATGAATTATGAAATGGAAATAATACAGAAGTGATTACCATGTACTATATCCTAGCACTTTTTTGTAGGAATTAAGGAAAACCAAGAGAAATATCCATCAGATAACTTGACATCCAGGAGCAAATTTGAACTGAATACTTCCCAAATATATAGTAGTAGTAGTATCCAGCACACAGCAAAATCCATTCTTCAAGAGTGATATGGTGATAACAGTAAATAACTTACAATTCAACTTACCATGTATACAAATGATATCTTCATTAAAACCCTCCTCGTCACCTTCCTGTTGTCCGTCGTGGAAAGTATCATCATCCGGTGTTATAGCACCACTGACTGCCACATCTAAAATTGTTTTCTCTTCAGATTCTTCTCTGCTCTCTTCAATCATGTCCTCAGTTTTACTTGTAACAGCCCAAGGTCGTTTGTTTGACTTCTCTCCTAAGATATCACAAATTGCGCCATCTTCTACACTCTGAATTATATCATCACCAAAGCCCGGAGTTTTGATACGAATGTACGAGTACTTCGGTCCTAAAGCTTTAACAGAATTTTTAGTGCATGTTTGTGAAATACCATTCACAGAAAGGTTTTCATTACTATTTTCAAAAATTTCTTTTAACAAAGGTCCTTCTCGTCTAACACTATTCTCATCCATTCTGGCTTCTGAAAGCTCCACGTTACGACCGTCCGTTCGGCTTTCCAATATTTCGTCGCTTGAGGTTACTACACTATCATTACACACGGCTAAATGCATAGAATTAATGTTTTGCGATTCCTCGTGCTCTGATGGTACAGTAGAAGATACTTCCATTTCCATCATTTCTGCTTCATTGTCTAAATCTTTCGCGTTTGAAACGACTGTTCTTCTCATACCAGGTAATAATGCCTTCACATTTCTTTCTCCATGAAACAAAGGAATTTGAGAATTATCTGTGGATTTATTATATGATAAAACTGACAAGGATTTTGAAGTATCAGCATCAAAACAATCGACAGAAATCTGTTTACTATCTGACTTTGGAGTCAATTTCGATCTTGAACGTGTAACCCTTGGAATGGTACTTCCACAGTCTTCAGAATTTAAGGAAATGCTAGAAGATTCACATTCCACTTTTTCACCGCAGTATCCCTCGTTGTCTCTAGATATTTTTTGGTTATTTTTCTCCGACAACTTTTCATCATCATTAGTTTCAGTTATAATGTCACAGCTAATTTTATCATCACAATTATTAACGCATGGTCCAGACACTTTATCGGCGCAGTTCAAGGAACAATCGCCGACTTCTTCCATATCATCCTTGCCTTTAATACCCTCTACCTCTTCTAGAACCAATTTCCGCCAACATCTCAGTGAATTTTTTCCAACCCAAAATGCAGGCTCCAAACTAAAACAAATATTACATAAATTTAAACAAACAAATTGATCAATTATCACAACTGAGAATTTCACATTTTACAGTTCCAATAAATATTTCCACTATACAGTGTCTTCCCTTAGCACCTAACAGTTATTCAATAAAAGTTTCTACTTTCTAAAAATACCAAGCTTCATCAATGTGTTCAGAAAAAAACCCACTGAAACCCGCCCTCATAATTCATAACACCACTTTTCATAGAAAGTGGTTGTCAGCTGCCTGAGACTGCTCATTTAACGAACATAATTTAATTTCGTTCATATTACGCTATGTGATTTAGTGCTTATTACAGTTTTATGATTCATAAACTAGTAATACAGCAGTTGATACCCTGAAGAAGGGTATTCTATGTCCCACATTATACGGTACAATCTCATTACTAGCAAGTATACTTCCTCAACTAAAATTCTATAGAATGCCTTGAACTTAGTACCTATTTATTTATAAATGAGAAAAATTACCTGTCAAGTTTCATTTTTAGCAAAGTTGTTAGTCTTTTGTTATCCTCTGTAATTTTATTCTTCAATCTAAAGACTTTACACCTGTACTTCACACATCGAAGACACATGGAGGCACCCCCAAGCAACCGAGGACCTCCCCCAAATTTGGAATACAGTATATCTGCCTACAAAAAGAAATCGACATATCATAAAATAACAACAGTTCCTGAAGTACATTTTCTGTGCTGAAAGTCAGAAACAGAATGGGGCATAAAGTTAAAGAATTATTTTGGAGTTTTTTTTCACACTACATCAAATTTTAAAAATAAGCCTGATTAAGAGAGATCACCACAACAACAACCTAATAAGATCATATTTTTTGTGATCTCTTTCTCAACAGAGGTTAAATGGAAAGAAACAAAGGCATCAAAACTGTTACCTGAATAAAGAGAAGAGAAGGGAATTTAGATCACAAATTTACTTGACAACTCAAAACATCCATAAAATCAGGGCACGTTCACAGCTTCCGTTACATTTAAAAACTTCCCATTCATATATCACACAGTAAACAAAGACAATATTTTTAAATAGAATGAAAATCCGACTGACATCCTGAAGAGGACCATTTTACTAAGATTCAAATGCAACCCTACAAATAATGTTTAAACTCTTCCAAAAAATTAAATATAAACAAGCATTCAGGTTTCTTAAACTTCAAGACCACTTACAGCAACAGAACTGATGCATTTTGTTTGTGATATGGAACTTGGATTCAACTTCCCATGCTGACAAACCAGAGAACTATTGTCCACTGGTTTGGCCTCATCATTGCTCAACCATTTCGCCAACCAGTTTGAAGAAATAAACTCAAACTGGGCACCTTCTGTGACAGGCAGCGTGTTGTAAAGGTTGGCCATCTCCTGCTGACGAGCCTTCCCACTTTCAACAGTCACAGCCTACAAAATCAGAAAGTATTTTAAATTTAAAGGCAGGTCGTATCAAAACGGAATAAATAAACAAGATGTAAGAAAATAAACTAAAAAAATATTAATAATTTAGGAATATTGCAAGCTAATATGTTCAGACACACAAAAATAAAAACAATGAATGCAATAATTTATACAGTTTAAATCAAATTTTCAATAAGAAAACCTGAAGCAATGAGACTACTTGGCACACCTTGGGCAAAGTTGTTCAAAATTACGTGCTGCACCTCAAATACATACTTATGAAGGAGCACAGGTATGGGGTCACGTGTTTTTAATCTTGGTACCAGATGGATGTGAACAGTCAACTTCATGCCCCAACCACCTTACTGCCAGGAAACAGGAGCAAATTTCATTACTAGCCAGCAACTATCAGCTTCTCAACAAGGATTCTGTTCCCTGCAACTGGTGACTTGGTTACTGGTAAAATTCTTTGCTGAGGGCTGCAAACCTCTGACATCTTCCAGGAACTGATTACAGCGAGTTCTCAGTTTATGAAGTTTGAGGTTCGCGGGCAGCAAATATGACAGCCTCGTGGGATATTACGCAACGTGGTATCATGTTCACTCCGATATTACTTTTGCATGCTGCTCGTACAACAGAGAAGTATTATTTTGATGTTAGAACTGAACACCACAAGCAAAGAGCGAGTAATAACCTCCCTCCCTACCGACTCAAAATTCTTGAAGATGTCAAGACAAATGACGCAGATAATACCAAGTTTGTTCACATTATGCAAATGCTACATCTATAATAGTAGAAAAAAAACATGAACAGTTTTGGCAAATGTATTAAATTTACAAAATCACTGGTAATTGTGAATACAATATTTTCCCAATTTAACACCTTTGTTTCATCCATTTCTTTCGCCCAGTCTTCAAATTTCTGGTCCTCGGTCTTCAACAAGTCACAAAGTCTTTCTGGCAGAATCCATTCCACTCCAAGATTGTCTTTTGTTTCATTGCCCTTCTTTTCAGAATTATTCTGTTCCTCTGCTTGTTTGGCTTCAGTATATACAAGCATATACGCATTATTTGATGTGAGGAAACCCTTTGGAACTCGCTGCGGCTTATTTTTCTTATTCCCATCTGCACCTAGATCAAGACATCGATGGTCATGAATGACAGAAAATTAAAAGACATTGGCTACTAAATTCTAAAACTGTTACAATTTGTCATTATCTCAAAACTAAAACAGGTCATCAAAAAATAAAATGTGCCAATATACAAATGGAGCTTCTATTATTACTAACCCTACTCATAGCCATGCGATGCCGACCACTCACCCCACCTAGTGCCGAGGTCAAGCCATACCTCCACTCCCCCCAAATGACCTATATGGCCTGTAGTGTAAGGGCTCTCTTTGTTTCCCCTCTCTCTCTCTCCGTCATATTTACAGAAACTTCAGAAGTACGCAATGTCTTGTACAATCTGTATCAGTATTTCCTCACACAAAGAACATAAAAATACTAAAAAACTCTTTTTTTTCTTTTCTTTTTTACAGAAATGCAAGTTTATGGGTTCCTAGGATGAAATCAGCAGTCTTTGGTCAGACCAAAAAAAAAATCTCCATGTCATATGGCTTACCATCAACATCTTCTTCTGTACCCAATTTCAACTTCTTCCCTTCCATTTTCTCCACAGCTTCGTCATTGAATTTATACCAGGTACTCGTAGTGCTATCACAGATGTGGGCTAAAGAGCAAAGGACAATCAGTAAAATGTAATAGCTACTCCAGTCTCAACAAGAAAACCAACTTCTAGACAAAAGCACGTCTGCCAACTGTTGCAACTATATTTAACCTTTGTGTCTTTTGTGCAGTCCACCTAGCTGTGTTGCGCTAGCATACCGTTAAACTGTTAACCCCAAAGTTAAAACGCGTCTGGCGCCATGTTATGGGGATTCAAATCCCCTATTCCACACGACGAAGGCTGCCGGGCGACGAGTCGGATCTGTCGCCCGGCAGCCCCGAGGATGAGAGCGGGGACTGTTGTTGAAACATTGGCAGACGATATGGTTTACGCATCACTCGGCCACCTGACGCGGCCTGTAACCGAGAGTCCTTCACCATCCACGACAAAAGTTATTTAATGACAAACTGCAGAAGGTACTCAGAATTATTTGAAGATAAAATTCTCAAGTACAATTCTATAAATAAATTATCTTACAATACTGGACACTGTGAATCTTACCTACATAATGTCCTGAGAATGCACTATGACCACAATGAATCAACACTGCACTAAGTACGTAGCACAAGGAACCAGCAGGCTTCTTCAGGTACAAAGACATGTCCAGGTTCTCAGGGAACTGCAAATATGAGTTCAACTTCTTCTTGCTGCCCTTCTGCCTGTAACAGTAGACTCAGTAACATTAGCTGAACCTTAACTTAGTTTGTCTGCCCACAGCCAATTTCTTTATACTTTAAAAATTTTCCAACCCAAATACATGTCCTTCCTTGTCGTGGTGGTGAGTACTGTCAGTGACCCCAAGAGCTACTGGTAGGGCCTCCCTAGCCAGATTGGTCAAGGGGGAGAGGTCAGACTAAGACATGTACCCTGGTCCTCCAGGTTGGGGGTTGGTCGCAAGGCTAACAACCGTGCACCGTAAAAAAGAAGATGTTTCGAAACCTCGATCAAAGCCTCAGACAGACGGACCTAACAGAGGACCAAGTACGGACCGGAGAATCATAGAAGAAGAAGAAATACATGTCCTTAGGTTTACATGGCTGGTGTTTGAAGTATAACTTCCAACTTTTCATGTGCACACTGCTCATAATGTGTATCAAATGACAGCAGTGAGCACGGTGAGTGGACAGTGCGGGAGAATCATAGAAGAAGAAGAAATACATGTCCTTAGGTTTACATGGCTGGTGTTTGAAGTATAACTTCCAACTTTTCATGTGCACACTGCTCATAATGTGTATCAAATGACAGCAGTGAGCACGGTGAGTGGACAGTGCGATACTAACCTCCCTCCCTTCCTCAAAAACCCCTTCTTACAACGCCAGACAGTAAGCTTCCGCAAAAGAAATTACCTATCAAATACAAAACGCATCAGTTGAAGGTTTAGCACTGGAGGTAGCACGTCAAGCTTGATGCTGCGCGTTGCATCCTGTTTTGACTTGCACACGGCGCAGAGGTAACGATTAGCACCTTCCAGTTTCTCCTCTTTCAGGAATTCTTCCAAACAATCAGCAAGTGTCTTGTGTCCGGCAATATTCAGTTCCAGCTCATAGAACAACGAAGGCAAGGCAGACTCTGTCCCACACAGTTGACACCTACAAGATGAGCAGGAACAAAAAACAAAAATCTTATAGGAAGACGGCTGTCTTGTGGGCTGTAGTGCAATATAATCTCATAGACGTACACCAGTGTTTCAGAGTTCCTTGCTGCCGATATCACCAGGGTGACAAATCTTAATTCTGTTAATATATATGGAGAAGATGACAACAAATAAAATACACAAATTTTAAGGAATCATTGAGAGCAAGAAAAGAGCAGCACATTTAACGATGTAGATTATTATATTGTGGTCCAGTGGTGTGATCCTGTGAAGTTGTTATTGTAAATCAGGCTTCATAAAAAAAGTGCAAAATTTCTTGACTAAGTGAGCGACTATTACCTTTTTAAGAATTCTGATCAATGGGGTCAGTTACATATGGTGTACAGTCGACAAACAAAACAAGAATTTTTGGAACAACTTTTAATGTGTACTTCCTTCTGATCCTAAGAACACCATTTTGTACTATTAAAAATAAAAAAATCCAAATTCATAATTATATGCTGATAGCTTATTCCAAATACAAAAGCCAATTTTGGAATTTGCAGAAAATATCATAATGGAAATTTAAAATTAAAATACATTTCCTCCTGTTCCGTATGTCGTTATACATACTTACTTGGTGACATAAGAATATTTCCCACAGAACTGCTCTTTAATGATATTTTTCACAAGTGGTGAAGACTGATGGGAGAGACGTTCTTCTAGCATGGAAATGAATAACTTTGAAAACTCCTGCAAATTAAAACATTTCATCAACTTTAACTCTCCAAAATTTTCTTTTCCCTAAAACATTTCCATTTTATGTGTGTCATCTGATAACCAAGCCTCTCTATCTATCAGATTCTACACGACCGATAAATTCAAACATATAACAACGCTCAAGTAAAAAGTGATGTATGTATTTACTGTATTTAAATACATTATTGCAATCCAAGAAAGTAATGTTATTACAATTTAAAAAATGCATCCAATATTGCCTTTTTCTAAAAATCTCTCTATATTTTTCAATAACCGTAACATTTAAAACAGATTAGGGTACCAAAACAGGGGCCACTTATTACCAAGTCAAAAATCTGAATTTCACAGTAAAAGATAACTAAAGTTATCGGTGTGCCTAACAGCGATAGCATAGAGGCAAAGACAGGACACACACTAATATGGATTTTAGAGAAATAGGTAGTGAGGAGAAGAGGTGGATGCAATTGGCTGATGATCGTGTCAATAGGCAATGTATGATGTTACAGGTTTCGAACCTTCTGTTTCTGCTACCAAAGAGTCAGTTACTTAATTAGCAGTTTTGTATCTGGCACTAGTTGGGAAAACCTTACTTGTGCATCTTGTTGAGTGGCGGTATCAAGACCAAGTGACAGAATAAACGCTGTTGGATCTACATAGCGTCGTTTGCCAAATTGAAGGAGTGCAAACAACAGCTGTAAGTGTCCAATACAGGATTCTGGAGCATATTCTTCTCCTTTGGTTTTCTGAAGTGTGATGTTAGCCATCTCCTGAAGATCTTCTTCTGGAGACCATGCATATACAGCATGCCTACAAAGAACAAAAATTAATAAACTCCATAGTAAAAAGCCTTCCCTTAACACTAAAATAAGGAATTCTGTGTTATGGAAACCGAGCCTCATCACAAAAGCCACTCAGTGTCCCTGAAGAGAAAGTCCTTCCTCGGACCCTAACAGACATACAGAATTTTGGTGGGGACACATATTCAAAAAAGGACTACTGAGAGGCCAATAATAATAATACAAAAGGATAACATTAAGATAGAACTTGGGTTGTGAGGATAGTAGACGGGTGAAAACGCGCCAAGATTGAGTTAAATAGTCAGACTGTGATATCAGTCACTTAGTTCATTTTTCTTATTTTATAAGGAAAACAAAGTTTACGTATCATCTTGTATTTGTGTGCATCAGCATAACTAATCAGCCTTGATAATATGGGTTAAACTTACCTAAACTTCAGGTTATGAAACCATAGCTGCAGTAGGCTATTGACATAGCATGTAGCACCAAGATTCTTGAGTCCAACAAATATTCCTGTTTCTCTACGCTCTTCATTAGGGTCAACCATGCCAACACCCCAAGCATCTTCTACTGCTGCAGCTGCCTTTGGGCCCAGCCACTTACTTTCACCTAAACCAGACAAGCATCGCGGATTGCCTCTGCAGTTACGCCTGCAAAATGTAACATACTTATTAGTTTTAAAGGCCACAGCTTGTACAGGGAATTCCTTCTTTGTTACTTGATCTATAGATTATTTAACACACTGTTTTAACTGATTAGGTCCAAATATTTTCCTCTGTACCCAGTTCTTGAACACCCTCAGTCTATGTTCCTCCCTTTGTGCCACAGACCAAGTTCCAACCCATACAATACTACAGGCAAAATTATGGTTCTGCACATTTCAATAATTAAGTTTTTAGATAACAGACAGGAAGACACAAGGTTCTGAACTGAATGGTTGACAACAAATGAAGATAATAAAGACTGATTCCAAGTACAGATCACTTTATAAGATTATATCAAAACAAAAGACTTATGATATATTAAATAACATGGATTCATGTGTGAGAATGATGAGCATGAAAAATTATGCTAGAAAGTAAACATGGCCTATTACAAAGATCAGGAATTTATTATTTGTTATTCTTCAACACAAAACACGTATTATTAACAATCGCACACCTGATCGGTGCCACAATATAACAATTCCAAACACCATGCATATTTTAACCTTTATGTAAAAATACATATATACATATAGATACATACAAACATAAAATAAAATATGTGTTAATTTTTTACATTACACATACCGACACGAATTTGGCGTACAAACATTTAATTTAATCCGATAAACCAATTCCACATGCTGTTTTGTGACATCATTCGGTTCAGTATTGTCTGCCCAACACCATGCAGCTTTATCCATATCCTCCTTCCGCATGTTCTTCATATTTTTGTATTTATCATTCCCAATCACTGGTGAAAAAATAATCCATTACGGAAATTAAGCCAAATGCTAAATATGGCGTAACATAATGTATGATACAATAACACATTTCAATATAACCTCTGTTTTGAAAGTACACTTAAAGTTCTATAGGAATAAAGTTGCATATTCACTAAACTGTGTTCGTGTTTGTAACTTTCTATTGCTAATTAAATATGTAGCTAAATGATAAATGCACAACACATCAATATTCACTATCGTAAATACTGTGCATATGCTCTCCTTTCCAGCCCACGCTCCACGCCACATCATTAACACAAACACAGTGCATACACTACACACGAACTAAAAGATCGCATTACCACAACACCCTAAACCTGACAAGCAGGGTTGCCATAACATGTCATGCACACAAACATTTCCTTCCAACAGCACCAAAGAAAAATTGACAGTGGAACCACGGTTCCGGAGAATCTGACGTAAACGCGTCTTTGTATTAAATTATATTTAGGCAATAAATACAATGAAAGGAAGTTTATATATTAGCTTGATAACTTGCAATAATTGCTTCTTGCGATTTCTATATTTCCCCATACGTTCAGCATTAGTTGTTGGTATTTTTTTGGGAACTTCAGGTTCATTATTTAATACTTCTATTTTTTTACGTTTTCTGTACTGTCTCATATATTCTGCATTACGGACTCTTTTAGCTTCAATGTCATCCATCTTGTTATCTCTACATATTATGACGTAATACGCAAACGCAGCAATAGCGTGAAGTACGATGCGCCTTTATTTGTATAAATAAATGCTTGTAGAACCTAAACCATTTGTGATATGTAAAATCTGAAAACAGATATGGAAAGCTCAAG